GCACTGTCTTATTACTAAGATAGGACAGGTATTCAATATATTCTGAGTAAAAACATGAATGAAGTGAAACACTGCCAATACTTTTAGCTCTTCTTGTCATTAAAAAATAATAGGACAGCTTATTAAATGTCAGGCACTGGTCTCTGCTCTCCTAATTTCTTTCTTTTAAAGGTTTTTATTTATTGTGAGAGAGAACAAGTGTGCATGAACAGGGGAGGGACAGAGAGAGAGAATCCCAAACAGGTTCAAAGCTCAGCACAGAGCCCTACATGGGGCTTAATCCCAAAACCGTGAGATCATGACCTGAGCTAAAAAGAGATGTTTAACCAACTAAGCCCCACCCAGGCACCCCCTTCTCCTAATTTCTCTTAAATCGTTATTATGATCTTCCTCACTCTGCATGTGAAGAAAGCGAGGCCAGGAAAGTCCAAGTTACCCAACCAGTACAAGGCAGTGAAGGATGTGGATCCAGACAGTCTGGTGCAGAACCCATTCTATGAACCACTATATTATATGGTTTCAGCAACTGAAAGCCAAAGAAAAGAAGCCAATTTACTGATGCAAAATGATTTTCAGTCTATGACTGGAGAACAAAGCAATTTCATATACCGTTTCTTTCCTCAGAGTAAAAGTACAGAGATTCTGACTTGGTAAGAAATGTTAATTAATAATGAATCATATGTCAATATAAAATTAACTATATAATAATGTTAAACAATAAGGTATAAAGAAATGTTTACTCCCCTAAGGGTCTGAGAGTGACCTATTAACTTCACCAGTGGTCAAGACACTGAGGCCATTTGACTGTCATATAATGATCTTAACCACATTTTCTAATTTTTCCAGAATTCATCTTAGAAAAAAATAGAATAAATTATGATGCTATTATTAATACAATTTTGTATTCTTAATTTGTCTTTGTTCAAATTAGCATTTCACCCTAGTAGTCAGTGGTAGCCTATATTTATCTATTTGTAACATAATAGAAAATCATATACGTGACAATAGAAAAAATAGTTACATCAACATTACTTCTCCTATAAATTGCCATCTAAAAAACTTAGAAATAAACACTTTATAAAGTATTGGCATACATTTTTAAAGCATATGTCTAAAAATAATATAACTACAAATCTGAAAAAGTTTTTTAAAAGATTACCCCATGTAAATTTCATCAAACTGAGGAATAAATAAATGTACCCTGTTTCAGATTCTAAAACCATCAAAATAAGGACAAAATGTTACTTATATAAATTACATCCACAAACTATGTTCTAATATGTCCAGCTGAGGAAGCTATTTAGAACAGAAACAAGGGCACTTAATTCGAAAGATCGATGGTTAATGAAAACTGTATTGCAATGTAAAGCACTACATCAAACAAATGGGAGAGTATGCTTTAAAATTCCAGTTAAGAGAACAGGAAAAAAATAAGGAAAATATAAAATGTAATAGCTAATAGTCTATTCAAAATTAATAGCAAAAAGAATTCAATAAAGAGGAAACACAGTTTACCTCCAATTAAAAAAATGAGACTACTGTAACTGTAGAATAAACAGACCTAAAGAACTACAGAATGATGAAAATTTTTAATAAAAATATGGTAAAAGTATACAATTAAATGCAAGGCATAAACAGTGACAATAAGGGACACATTATTTAGCTGAATAATAAAATGAGTTATCTGGACAACCAATTAAAAGTGCTACTGATAAGACCACTCTGATGACTTATAAAGCTCTGGAACTCATCACGTCTGTACCCTACAGAACAACTAACCTGATTGTCTCTCTTCTCAGCTAAGATATAAGCAATGTCAAGGAGCATATTATTCCAAAGCCGATAATCATATCTGGCCATAACTGCCTTGTAACTGTCCATGCACATAGTCTTTGAAGCAGAGGATTAAATGTTCCTGCCCATTTTATCTAGTCCCCAAGACTCGTCCTGCAAAGTGAATAAAAATGATTATCTTTTAATCTACCCCTTGAATACATACCATAAAGAAAAAAAAAAAAACAGGGAGGAGGGCAAAGATGAGAACTTAAAAAAAAAATCCTTGAAAATATAGATAATTATTATCTAGTCTGGAATTAAGTCCTCAGTAAGATCTCTGTGCTTTGTTGAAGGGTAGGTGACCGATAGGTCCCACATTTTATGAAACTAGGTCTTGGGAGATATGATCATTAATGTAAACATACAGTAATATTTTGAAGTAAATTTGAAATGACTTGCAAATTAAGTTTCTACTTGTGAAAAATCAGCAGAAACATGATGTTGATCTCCTTCCATTTTTCTTAACAGATTTTTAAGCATAATTTCAAATTCAAACAGGCTAAATGATGATATATGAAGAGCTTAGTGAGGTAAAAACAAAATGGCATTTATAAGGGAGTTTCAAAAGCTATTATGACCGGAGGTAAACTGTTGGAAAAGAAAGACAGAAAGGCACTAGAAGGAGGAGGAAGCTACTCAACCCAAAAGTAACAGAAAAGCTACAGTTAAAATATATTTAAGTATATGTAAAATTAATATATATTGTTCACAAAAAGGATAAAAATAGGGAAAACAATACAATAATAAAAGTCACTAAAAATGGGTCAATGGAAAGGAGGTGAAATGGACCATTATGAAAGTCAGTAATATACTGTAATGCTACATTTTACACTGTAGTAGAGGACAAATGCAAATGAAAATTAAGTACATTTTTCAGGAAAACAGACATTTTAAAAGTCAAAATATTCTATATTCTTTCTCCTCTGTTCTTAAATAGAGTATGTGGCATATATTTAATCTTTTATAGAGAATACACAGGGTTTAGGACTAAAGAGAAGTACCTTGCCCCTACAGAGAAGCCCCAGGTGATTCTCTCTCTCAATATCTATTAAGCAAAATCTTGTTTTCTTCTTTAGTATAAACTGTTACTTCATAATTCTATTAGCAAGACAGCATTTAACATTTGCCCTCGACTGGACAATTCTTATTCCTCCATTGTTGCTTCTCCTCTCCTGGACTTATGATATGAAAATATAAATTTTTATGAGAGCAACTTGGACTATTTAGAAGCAATTTCTATTTTATGTTTAGGTCTATGTATTTCAAACTGCTGCATTTACCATGCATCTGACAACCAGCTAAATGGGCATTACTGCATAGAAGAAAGATGAAAACTAAATAGAATATATTTTTTAAAAAAGGAAAAGAGCAAACTAAAATGTAGAGGATAGCAAAAGTCATGAAATTATAAAGAAAAAATGTATGACATCAGATAATTTAAAAATAATAATGTATTTACAGTACCTTTTAAAGGATCTTGGGTACAAGATCTCTTTTTGTTCCTAATAATGAGGAAGAAAATACTCTCAAAACACAAGAATTTAAACTATATGATGTCTGTTCTGTACAGAAATCTTTTTCAGCAATAAACTGTATTTTTATCTTACCTTTCTTAAAAAAATTGTATAGATATTTCTTTTTCTAATAATAAGGAAAATATTACTCTCAAAAGAAAATACAGTAATACCTTGATGTGCAAGCATAATTCATTCCAGAAACATGCTTGTAATCCAAAGCACTTGTGTATCAAAGCAAATTTCAAGAACCAATGGCTCAGATGTGATCATCTGATATTCGGGGTCACATAATTATACTGTACTGCAAGACACAGCTTGTTTATCAAGTTAAAATTTATTAGAAATGTTTGCTTGTGTCATGGAACACTTGCAAACAAGTTACACTAAATTGCTTTATGTCATTTCATACAGACATGTAACTGAAAGAATAATGGACACTGATATGGATTAACTGGATTAAATAAGAAAAAAAAGAGAAATGAAAAGAGAAGTGGACAAAAATATGGATGACCCAAGGTAACATATGGCTCCAGGCAACAGATTAAGCCAGAAAATGACAAAATTTTTAACCAGGGATTTGTAATGTATATTCCCCAAAGTAACAGCATGAGCATAACCTAAGTTAAACTTGGAGGGTAAAGCCATGCAATTTGTTTTAATAAGCTCCACAGATGATTCTGATGCATGCAAAAGTTTGAGAACATTTCAAACATATTTGTTACATGGGAAATTTTATGTAAATGCAAGATGAAATGCAATTATTGAAATTAAATGTGGTGTTTATCATGGTAATGTGTAAGATGAACATAGATAAAGTCACTGCTACTGAAAAGGATGTCACCTGGGAGTATTTACGCATAGGTGCAGGTACATACATGTGTGTATGCTCTATACACAGATCAAAAAGAATAGTTATTTTAGGTGAGTATAGTGTAAGTACTTGAGGGAAAATAAAACAACTGCTGAATTAATAAAATTACCTTCTTAAGGAAAAACAAGGAAAAAAATGAATATACTTAGCTGAAAAGTTTCTAGATAATTCTAAAATGAAAGCAAAAGTGAAAACTAATCTGTCAATTCTTTAGATTATAGCTGACCTAAATGAACTGATTTCAGAGACATTATAGTTAGACACAATCAGGTTATTACAGCAGTAGGAGAGGAAGAATGCTAGCTATGCAGTGACTGCAATTAGATTATTTCAAATATAAAAACAAATATATATTTACACACTTAGGTATAATAATAATGAGCAATAAAGCAATATAATTAAATTTAAAAAATACCATGAATCTGGAAATTCAACTACAAATTTTGGGGCTTACCAAAGAACATGGCCTAAAGGATTCCTACAATATCATGAATTATAAAATAATGATATATGAAAGTAACTAAATGTTGAGAGAGAAATTTGCCAGAAATTTTCAATTTTCATTCTCAAGGCAATCATATGCCAGTTATTAAAATAGGCATGTATCTTATCTAAACAGATAACATGAGCCATTCAGATGAATTTGGAAGAGGGGAGGTACGGTATTTTTCAGGAGTACAGCAATTAATTTAATACTTAATCTAAATAAATTTTAACTGGAATATAACATATTTAACAAAACTAAATGAAAAAGAAATAAAATGTTGGTTACTTACCAGCAAGGGTACTTGTATGCCTAAAAGCTCTGACCTGGGAGTCTGACAAACCAGTCAAAAGGGAGATTACTGTGTCCATCATATACTCATCATAAATTATGCTATACTGACACTGTCGAATCAGGACTCCAATAAATTCACAAAAGTTTGATCGAAATTTTTTCCACTGCGGTCCAGGCATGGTAAGGGGATAATCACCACTGTCCTAAAAAAGATAAAAAGGACATTATTAAATTTGATATACGATATCAATTTGACCAAAGTTTTTTTTCCTATATATAAACCAACATTTTTATCATAAAGTAGATGTTGACAAAACTTGAAAATACACTGAAGACTTTATATTTACTGTTTTGATCTCCCACAACTAAATAATTCATAAAGTATTCAAAATTGTTATTTAGAAGCAGAAAATAATTCATTATTATATGCCAACATTCAAAAAAAGAAGTGGTTTCCATTTTATTATACTTGTTGATATAATTTAAAGCAGACAATGAAAAATATTACAGAAGTTTATACTAGAAAGGATATCTGCTATTGAATGCAGATCAAACTAATCATTACTCCTATATGATATAGCATCTTTCAATTATTTTAAACAGAATTTTTAAGAATTGAGAATTTCAAAAGTCTGAGCATTTCATTAAGAAGTCCAAACTTAATTTTTCACATCAGAAACTAAAATCCTATCTCTTCCAGTTTTACTATAAGTCTTGTATTAACTAAACTTTAAAGAGCAGATTTATCAACTTTTCAAAGGAAAACAATCTAACATGGGCTCTTGGTATTACCAGATTGTGTTATCTTGTTTAAAACATAAAGAGACAATGGATTGAATTAGAGGTTTCCTACTGTAGTCTAAAATATTTTGGTACAGATGGCAAAATATAAGTACAAAGAGAAAATTTTGAAAGCAGCTAGGGAGAAAAGGGCCCTAACATACAAAGACAAACCTATCAGAGTGGTGACAGACCTATCTACTGAAACGTGGCAGGCCAGAAAGGAATGGCAGGACATCTTCAATGTGATGAACAGAAAAAATATGCAGCCAAGAATCCTCTATCCAGCAAGCCTGTCATTCAAAATAGAAGGAGAGATAAAAGTCTTTCCAAAAAAACAGAAATTGAGAGACTTTGTCACCACTATGCCAGCCCTACAAGAAATCCTGAGGGGGATGCTCTGAAGGAAAGGTTGCAAGGAACAAAGATACCAGAGACACCACCACAAACATGAACTCCACAAAGGACACAAAGACTCTAAACCCACATATCTCAAATAATAACACTGAATGTAAATGGGCTGAATGCTTCATTCAAAAGACACAGGGTAGTAGAATGGATAAAAAAACAAAATCCATCTATATGCTGTCTACAAGAAACTCATTTTAGACTGGAAGATACCTTCAGATTAAAAGTAAGGGGATGGAGAAATATATATCATGCTACAGGAAATCAAAAGAAAGCCAGAGTAACTATACTTATATCAGACAAACTGGACTTTAAATCAAAGACAATAACAAAGGATGAAGAAGGGCATTACATAATAATTACAGGGTCTATCCATCAGGAAGAACTAACAATCATAAATGTCTATGCACCAAATATGGGAGCACCTAAATATTTAAAACTATTAATCACAAACAGAAAGAGGCTCATAGATAAGAATGTGCTAAAAGCAGTGGACTTTAATACTCCGCTTACAGCAATGGATAGGTCAACCAGACAGAAAATCACTAAAGAAATAACGGACTTGAAAGACACATTGGACCAAATGGATATGACAGATATATTTAGAACTCTTCATCCTGAGGCCAGGGAATTCACTTTCTTCTCAAGTGCGCATGGCACATTCTCCAAGAAAGATCACATACTGGGACATAAAGCAGCCCTCAATAAATATAAAAGAATAGAGATCATACCATGCACAC